GCTCATATTTTGCCCCCAACAGTTGAGGAAATTCCTTTTCTTCCTAGTTGTTACAGTTTTTTCCATCTATAAAGGCAGTGGTTTGATTAAAAGTTCAAAATTTGTACTTTAAATTTTAACCCAGCCTTTTTTGTTGACTTCATGGCTCATATTGTAGCATTTGGGGCTATAATAGGATGCCTAGACCTGTTTTTATTTTTATTTTTTTTCGCCCTGTCGCTTCATATTTTTTCTGAAAAAATCCGAGAACCAACAAATTAAATTGGTGTGGCCTTACAATGATAATACAATGTAAACCCACAAGACAGAGGCAAATGGCCAGCTGTCAACAAGCCTCAGCATCAGTGTGCAAGCATGTCTAACCCTCAGAACATGGGGAAGAACAGACACTTAACCGGATACTAGTATTTTGTGAGTGAGTGATACAATAGAAAATTGGCCCTAAGTGGACAATATTGCATTACAAAGAAAGTACAAAACATTGGACCCTCTCCGCACTTGTCGGTTGCCCCCTGACCCTACCTTCTCACAGTCGTTGTCGAAGAGACGGAGCTGGAAGCACTGGTCTAACTTGAGTTTGCGAATGTGCCACAGCTGCTGGAGTCTCTGTCGCGTGGCGTGAAGATTCTCCACCAGACTAGTCACACGGGGGGCTTCGCTTTGGAAATCAGCAGTACCTACGAAGCGGAAAAAAACAATTTACGCACCACAGTTCCCTCTAAAAAAGTTGAATCACTAAACTGAAATAAACTTTTTCACTGCAACCCATCGGCCACACTAGCCAGGACATTAGAACATTTTCCACACTGTAAAAATCAATCAATGTAAAACCTAAAATTGTTTTCAAGCAGACGTACTGTATTAAAGTTCTAAACATACTTAATCTACATGTAATAGATGGTCATGCCATAGTAGCTTTGTACAGTAATTACATCACAGGCATTTCTATAGCACTGAGATGGGCATATCGCTCAGGAATAAGAAGTAAAAAAAAACTCTAATGCTTTAGTTTTAACCAAACATAGTATTTCATCAGTGCCCTACCTGACACCATTGCATGGTTCTCCCCTATACCACTGTCTCCTGTCCCTTCCTCAGCTTTCATCACCCCGATCTTTTCCAGAAGTTTCTGCCCCTCCGTTTCTAACTGTTCGATCGGGGCTTTGGAGATTTTCTTCTTGCGAGAGTTGTGTTCCTCCATCATGAGTTTGGCACCGGCAAGGTCGTCTGCAAAGTCGTTAGCGTTCATTGCTTCCTCCAGGGTCTCGAACTTGTCCAGCAAGTCCAACGCAGAGTAGACGAATTCTTCAAGGGCCTGGGGGGTTAGAAACATTCACTTTGTACAATTCTTTTAGAATATTGAGCAGCCATCTAGGTATCCTACAAGCATTTCATAGCTTGAGAATATTTATATACAGGAACAAACAAAACTTCCATAACTTTCTGGAAATAACATTGGAGGATTAGAAACATTCTCTTTGTAGACTTCCTTTGAAATAATGAGTATAATCACAAGATAAAACTACATCAGTGGCCATCTTGGCGTCCTACAGAATATGCTTTTCAGTAAGTAATAGGTCAACTGTTTTTAGACATTTAGGGATCTTTTGAAACTCTCTAAAACTAACCACTAAGGGTAGAAAATCAGAGACCAGAGGAATATTTACGTATAAAAATTTATGTAACAATCAAGACCAAATGAGTACATTTAGCTTTCTGCAAATAACATTTTGATACGTGGTAATTATGACCAATAACAAATAGTAATATTTGCATAAAAGCGTGAGAAATCCCTCGCTTACCAGCCTGAGTTCTATCCACTCCTCGTGATCGTACACCAGCGTGCCGTCAAACTCGCTCGTAAGCTGCGATTGGTCGATGCATTTTGTCAGGCCATCAAGAGCTATCATGGAGGTCTGTAACAACAGAGACAATAAAACAGTTCTTACAAACAAGATACAGAAAACTGCTAAGATATTGTTGTTGAATCTCAGTAATTAAAACTGCAGAGAAAACTTTCCATGGCTGCTTTTTAGAATGCAAAACGGAGGTCTGAGAAACATTTGACACTTATGTCAGACATTTGAATGAAATTGCCTGATTCTTTGCAAAATATACAAATATAAATTGCAACTTTATAAAGGTTAATGGTTCAAAAGAAAGTTTGTTTTATAATGAAATAACAAAAACAGTACATGTAGCGGAAGATTCCTTTAGATTTAGATCAACATTTTCATCAAAATTTGGATTTAAATTTCTATAGGCAAATTGNGACAATGACAATGACAATGACAATGAACTTTATTGCATATCCACGCCCTACATGGGCCAAATGCATTAAGCTGGATAACTATAGGTACAGGTATAGAAGAAACAAGTGTTATACTTCTGTGCTATAACTATAGGTACAGGTATATAAGTAACAAGTGTTATACTTCTGTGCTATAACTATAGGTACAGGTATATAAGTAACAAGTGTTATACTTCTGTGCTACGTCTCTAACTACAGGATCTATCTACATGATCTCCTCTCTCTTTTTGAAACATGTATGAACAAATTTACATAGCTTTTCATTTACATCGTAGTGCTTGGATGTCATAATATATTTGAACTAGTTCTGCTTTTGACAAGTATGTATATTTCTTCTCTAACTCTAAGGAATTGATAAAGGATTTCCGCATATCAGTGTATAACGGGCATTCTAAGACAAAGTGTGCTTCATCCTCTACACAGTTACTGTTACATAAAGTGCAAATTCTGTTACTTGCTGGAGTCTGGTTATACCTACCAATTTCGATCTGTAATTGGTGATCACTAATCCTTAATTTTGTCAATGCTCGACGATGACTAAACTTTTGCACATCTAAATATTGTTCTTTTTCATATGTAAGCTTAATTGTTCTGTAAGTTCTTAACTTATTTCCTTGTCTTCCATTTTTGCTATATTTGGAGTTTATTTCTGAGTAGAAATATTGCAGAAAATTGTCTTTTAGTCTTTGTTTTAGTTCAGATTGAGCAGATGATGTGTTTCTGTCTTTTTGGAGTAAAAGGTAGGCAAAACCTGACTCCTCGAGTATTCTACTTATATTTGACAACCAGCAAGGTATTTTACATCGGTGCAGGTCTTGCTGCACTAATAGAGCTTCATATAGTAAGCTCTCTTTTGGAATTTCTTTAACTAATCTTTTATAATATGAATAAATTTTAGTATATACTTCGATCCACAGTGGGTATCTTCCTAGTTCTGCCCTTGCACCAAGATTGCTGGCATTCTTTCTGACGCCAAGAAGAGACTTACAGAATTTTAAATGTGCTTGTTCCATTGGAGAATTGTCGTTTAGTCCAATCTTGCCCCAAACTTCAGCACCGTAGGTTAATATGGGAACAACGCATGCATCGAATAGTTTGCAGTATACTGATACTGATGCATTACTGTCTCCTAAACTTGATTTTATACTGAAGAGGGCTCGTAAGGCCTTTTTTTGTAGAGTTTTCATTGCAGTGTTAAATGTAAACCCACAAGACAGAGGCAAATGGCCAGCTGTCAACAAGCCTCAGCATCAGTGTGCAAGCATGTCTAACCCTCAGAAGACGGGAAGAACAGACACTTAACCGGATACTAGTATTTTGTGAGTGAGTTATACAATAGAAAATTGGCCCTAAGTGGACAATATTGCATTACAAAGAAAATACAAAACATTGGACCCTCTCCGCACTTGTCCAGTTGCCCCCTGACCCTACCTTCTCACAGTCGTTGTCGAAGAGACGGAGCTGGAAGCACTGGTCTAACTTGAGTTTGCGAATGTGCCACAGCTGCTGGAGTCTCTGTCGCGTGGCGTGAAGATTCTCCACCAGACTCGTCACACGGGGGGCTTCGCTTTGGAAATCAGCAGTACCTACGAAGCGGAAAAAAACAATTTACGCACCACAGTTCCCTCTAAAAACGTTGAATCACTAAACTGAAATAAACTTTTTCACTGCAACCCATCGGCCACACTAGCCAGGACATTAGAACATTTTCCACACTGTAAAAATCAATCAATGTAAAACCTAAAATTGAGTTTTACCTTCCTTGAAAGGTTTTCAAGCAGACGTACTGTATTAAAGTTCTAAACATACTTAATCTACATGTAATAGATGGTCATGCCATAGTAGCTTTGTACAGTAATTACATCACAGGCATTTCTATAGCACTGAGATGGGCATATCGCTCAGGAATAAGAAGTAAAAAAAAATTCTAATGCTTTAGTTTTAACCAAACACAGTATTTCATCAGTGCCCTACCTGACACCATTGCATGGTTCTCCCCTATACCACTGTCTCCTGTCCCTTCCTCAGCCTTCATCACCCCGATCTTTTCCAGAAGTTTCTGCCCCTCCGTTTCTAACTGTTCGATCGGGGCTTTGGAGATTTTCTTCTTGCGAGAGTTGTGCTCCTCCATCATCAGTTTGGCACCGGCAAGGTCGTCTGCAAAGTCGTTAGCGTTCATTGCTTCCTCCAGGGTCTCGAACTTGTCCAGCAAGTCCAACGCAGAGTAGACGAATTCTTCAAGGGCCTGGGGGGTTAGAAACATTACCTTTGTAGACTTCCTTTCAAATATTGAGTGGCCATCTTGGTGTCCTATATGCATTTCAGTAAGTCATAGCTGAAGAAAATTTACATGCATGTATTACATGCATGTATTTGATCCATACCTTTCTGGAAATAACAATGGAGAAGAAACATTTTCTTTGTAGATTTCTTTTGAAATAATGAGTATAATCACAATACAAAACTAAAAGCAAGTGATTACATTAACCTTTCCGCAAATAATATTTTGATATGTGGTAATAATGACCAAAGGCAAACGTTTCAAATAGTGATATTTGCATAAATGCGTGAGAAATCACTCGCTCACCAGCCTGAGTTCTATCCACTCCTCGTGATCGTACACCAGCGTGCCGTCAAACTCGCTCGTAAGCTGCGATTGGTCGATGCACTTTGTCAGGCCATCCAGAGCTATCATGGAGGTCTGTAACAACAGAGACAATAAAACAGTTCTTACAAACAAGATACAGAAAACTGCTAAGATATTGTTGTTGAATCTCAGTAATTAAAACTGCAGAGAAAACTTTCCATGGCTGCTTTTTAGAATGCAAAACGGAGGTCTGAGAAACATTTGACACTCATGTCAGACATTTGAATGAAATTGCCTGATTCTTTGCAAAATATACAAATATAAATTGCAACTTTATAAAGGTTAATGGTTCAAAAGAAAGTTTGTTTTATAATGAAATAACAAAAACAGTACATGTAGCGGAAGATTCCTTTAGATTTAGATCAATATTTTCATCAAAATTTGGATTTAAATTTTCTTATACAACATAGGCAAATTGAGAAACAAATAGTCCATTCCACTGTGCCTTTAAAATCAGGATATTTTCCATGTGCAAAGTTTTCCCTTACAAATTAACTAGGTGTAGACAGCTCATTAGGGTTGTGTTCTGTATGTTAGGGTGACAAAAACACAGGAACTGAAAACCTTCCACAGGATACAGGTGACTGACAAGTGAAGTTTGATTCCAAAAGGTTAAAACTTCAAACACTGCAAAAAAACTCCTTTTCCTTTCGGAATGCAAAATAAAACCACTGCTAAGACCACACCAATTTGATTTGTTGGTTCTTGGATTCCCCCACTTCATTTTTTCTCATTTGCAAAAAATGTTCAGGTTCAGGTTCTGAATCAACTCCAAAATGCTCATATTTTGGCCCCAATGGTTGAAGAAAGCTCCTTGTCTTCCTAGTAGTTACAATTTTCCCATCCTTCAATGCATTAGTTTGGTAACAAGTTGAAAATTCATTGTTGTAAACTGGCCTGGTATGTTGACTTCGTAGCTCCGATCGCAGCTTTTGGGATGTCATAGGATGCTTAGGCCTGTTTTTATTTTTGTTTTTTTCTTTTGCCCTGTTGCTTCAGATTATTCTGAAAACATCCAAGAGCCAACAAATCAAATTGAAATGACGTAAGGTAAATGTATTGACACTCAAGGAATAAAACAACATCTCCCCCCCTACCTCGAAAGAGAACTTGGAGGAGCCAAGACTGGTGCGGTGTTTCTGCCAGAAGTTGTCGGGTTTGATGATGTGAGCCATGTGGATGTTACCGGGGAAACAGTCCTGTAGGGGGCAGAGGTCAAACACTTACTGCTGAAACATCCGAGACACTTCAAAGCCTGGAGGTCCCCACAGTCCGAGGGTAGATTACAAGATTACCACATAAAGAGACTCTATCACAACTTCTGAGGGTATACTAAAACCTGATAATGCACATACATGTATGGAGCTGAAACCTTTGCCTGGGCAACTGCAGTTACCACAGTGATCAGTGGGAGGCACTGCAGTATATCAGCCCTATCTTGCAATTGTGAAAAATTCTTTTGAAGGGAAGGCTGAATGTTGGGCACTGAAACAGCTCCCCCTAGTGTCTACTGTTGCCACTGCAGTTACGCAGCTTGCAATGCAGTTCTGCATACAGATATCTTCTTGTACACTTGTCTTCTTACACTCTTAGAAACACCATACAACGGAGGGCCATCTAGAAGAATGGATGAATTGGAGTTTACCAGAACTCTGTGTTGTGTAGGGACCAACCTGTAATGCCTTGAGTAGGGGTTTGACAGAACTCCATGTGGAGCCTCGCATATCCACCACCACACTGAAGCCATGCTTCTTGGTGTCCTCACTGCAATGGAACAACAATATAAGTTGGGAACAAGACAACATTTCAAAAGTAATTTTAAAAAGATACAAATACCCGTATAACACAAAGCATTAGCATTCATACAATCCTCCATACACACTTAATTTGTATTACTGAGCATCTGAATTCTCTTGCAGTCAGGCTTTTAGCTAGGGGGTGTCCAGGGTGTCTTTTGGACGCCCTGTACTGAAAATAGTAAGAAATTGGACGCCCTAATTTTTGGTAGGACACCCTAAAGACGCCCTATTTTTTCCACTCCCAACCCCTGCCATGCACACATGCCTCCCTTCAGCCTTACTATAATTACAAAATTGATGGTTTACTGAAGGAAAAAACTCAAATTCCTCAAAATTTGCACCTCAAAATGCAGAAAGTGCAAGTAGAGCATTATGAATTTCAAAAAAGCCCCCCCCCAAAAGCTCTTCACTGCGCATGGCATACAAAAAAATGGACACCCAACAAAAAAATCCTAGCTAAAAGCCTGCTTGCAGTTTAAATATGGTACAATATACTTGAATGTATGCCTTAAGTTAAACCTACCTGGGAATACTAGCTAAGTATGTCATGACTCTCTTGAGGTCATCGTAGCGGATGGCCTTTTCTGGGTTGTTGCGCTGTGGAAATGTCAGGACGGGACCCCCTCTCATATCACGGCCACCTAGGAACAACAGAAGATACAAGAATATCTACATGTGTGTACGTAGTATAATAAAATTTGTAGTTAAAACAATAGTAGCATCACAATAGAAATGCCAGCACCTGTTTGATATACCACAGAAATTCATTTTAACACAAACACAACACACAACCATGCCTTACCTGATAAGAAAGCTATTTTTTCTCTAAGAATTGGCACTATGTCAGCAGCTTTCAGCCCTTCCGTCTTTTTGCTCCCTGTGGTAAAAACAAGACGGAACATTCTTAGCAAAACAGTGTGACATCTTCTGAATGAAAATAGACATGGTCAATATAACATATCTTCTTTCTGCAGACTGCAGTTTTCAGTACTGGTGCCAGAGGGGGCTCATGAGCAGCTTTATTTTTCAAACATATGTACCACAATCAAACAAGACAGTTTTGAGCCCTGTTCAATGTGAACTACTTTGTATTGCTTCACAAACAACTTGTGCTTGAGTAGGTCAACAAATGAATCGTTGACATTCCTTGTGACTGGTCAAGCACTATATAATCACCACATTAAGCAACTCATAAATTATACAAATTCAAAGTACTTAAAGTAAAAGAAATAGCATATAGCACATTAACTGTACAGTTTTTGAGTAGAGCAGGCCTTCCTCTACCAATTATGATGGTATCGTCCACAAATCTTTTCTTCTTGTTCAGCATTTTTTTTTCTCAGAATACTCTACCACTACCTCCCACGTGGGAAAATGGGCCGATCCCACTGAAACCAATTAACACTAGTTTCTGAGGAGACCTTCACCAAACTTCCTGTTGTAGGTGGAGAAAACCATTCTCTAGTGTTTCATGGCATTCTATAGGATACATTGGGTCGTCTTTGTTCACTATACAATAGCAATAGGGACATATTCACAGCTATTTGCACAAAAAAAAGCACAGCAAAATAATCAGTCCTTGTAAGAATAGATTCAAACATGCAAGGCACATGTGCAAAACTAAAAAACCCACAAAGAGTTAAGGAAATCACTTGAAATAATGTCCAAATCATCTGCACTGAAAGTGTAGTTGCTTTTGAAATTGACAATATAAATTCCTAAATTGTTAATATTGTCACCTTTAAAGGTTATATAATAAATCATAGATCAACTGTAAAGGGACAATATGAGACATAGACAAAGATGACATTAGACAAAGATGACAATAAAAAAAAACTTAATCAAAACACAATAACATTTTACACTGAATAGTGCCGACACCCTACTAGAACACTGTAAAAGTTTGTGAGGTAAAAAGTTCACTTTTAAACATGATATATTTTCCTAAAACTATCTCTCCCCTAGAGATAGTAATAATGACTGCAAGGAAGTACAAGCACACACATAAGATGAATGCAGCTGGACTTTCATAGCATCCAGCAAAATCCTTTGTCCTCCCACAAGCATTTGTATCTCGTGACAAACTGCATAAAAGTGCTCTGAGACTTTGAACATCATATTGCCTTGTCTCAGAATAAGCTAGCCAAGAGCTTTTTGAAGCTACGGCTGATTTATAATAACACCCTCCATGGCTTAAAGTCTGATAGTTGGGTTGGTCTTCCTCAGACTCTGAGATAGTCAAAGGCTTATAGAAAGTACTAGAAAAATGGTGATTTACAGTAATGTGTTTAGTGGTTCTCTGTGAATGGTTTGCTGAAATCCAGGCTTAGTTGAAATCCCTCCACACCAACTGTTACACAATAGTGTGGGATAAGGGTTGATAATACAGGCATTACTCCAGCATGTGGCCTGGCAGGCAGCCAAAACATTAAAAAACTGAACTTTTCTTGAACTTAGCGAAATATGCAGTACGAGAAACATTATATTCAAACTTGCAGTTATCCAGTTATCCAATTCATGGACAAGTTGCAAGTTGTATAGAAGTTTTTCAGTTGTACATTTGTAACAAGAAGTAAGAGATTTCAGACTTCTCGTAAGGCAATTAGGCAATGAGCAAATATATTGCAAAAAAAATATTTGAAAAGGATACCAATGTTGTAGAATGCCAAAATCAAACGAAAAAGACAAGCCTGAAGGCATAACAACTTTCAATCAGACACGATTTAAGTGAACCTCCCTCCCGCTTCTCATTGACATGTGTAGTCCTAATAGATGTACTGAAGAAGAATGATGGTTGTCTCTCCCATATATCAGAAATCTATAAGAGCCAGTTTGTACCCAGCAGTATTAGCTATGTACATATATAAAGATGCCTCATCTTGTGTAATGTACCTGACACTCCATTACCATCCATTATACACTTTAGAGATCAATAAAAACTATTACCACTTCTTCAACCACAGTGTTCTTCTGACACAAGTAGTGTTTCTGCAATGTTTTGCTTTTTGTATCTTTTTTAATCTACGTATATTTTTATACCTTCAACTCTGTTTAATACTGGTGGTACCCTCACAATCAACATGATTGTGATAAAATCTTGTCTAAGTCTCAAATATAACCAATACAGTTCAACTGATATGTGGATTCATACATACGATAAAAAAAAGTACTTGCTTGCAACTGATAGCACCCAAAAATAAATCTGTGTAAACTTTGCCTAACTTACAAAGCCATAATGAAAGTTTCATGATTTACTACTCTAATAAAATTCTTACATTGGCATAGCATAGCCACATCCTCTGGGTTATATACTAGTATGTTTCACAGGAATAAAACTCTACCGATTCTAAGATATTATAGCTATGCATTAGGCTCTAAAGGTAGTTTTAACGCAGCATATAAGTCTATTGGAGTAACATATAGTGACTTGTGGATATTCAATAAGTCCAAGGAACAGGTACAAATAATGGGTCCACAACAACTCATACGGCCCAGTCACCATATCAATCTGGCGATAAAATGCGAGCAATTTTTTGGCGTCGAGAAAATCACACCCCGCGGATCGGTCAGCGCTATGATTAGTACTCCAGGTCACGACCTGGTCAGGGGTGGTGCATTGATATCAGGGATGGTACATGATTGATGTGTGGGGATGGATCAAAAGGCTGGAACTGGGTAATTAATTACAATAACACATGTGGTCTGTTTATGCTGTAAGGGAATCTATACTAATGTTGTTATTGTTGAAAATAAACTTTCTGGCTGTGTCTTATAAAGTGAAAACTGACAATATATAACTTAACTGTGCCAATCAAAATGTACACACATTTTTAGTGTATTATAACTATTATAAATGTGCCAAAATGTAACATATTTTCTATGAGGATCCTACTAAAAAAAATAATTCCAGTATATGGAAAACATACAGGATAGAGGTTTGTAAATAGAGTTCATTCAATAGATCATAAAAAGTGTTAACATAATAGATGAATATATTCTTTTATGAATCTTATTCAATATCGACTGATCTACATGTACATGTGTTTTACACAATTCAAGGCACATAACATAGCAACTGAACAAAAGCCAGAGAAAGAACTGTCGCAAAAACAAACACACACATGAAACAAGCTCTTTATAATTTATATGTTTACATAGAGGCCAGTATTTATTTTTGCTGCGGCCAATTTGCAAAGGATAACAACTGGATATGAGCCTTGAGGACCATATGGGTTCTATCATTACAACACATTTTTCTTACAGCTGCCACAGTAGGTACATACAGGAAGAGAGCTATCCATATAAACTATAGAATGTTTACATAACATAACAGCTACAATGTACAAGTGTTTGTGTACTGATATGTAGCACACTTTGTAAACAATCAATCATGTCCACAATATTCTCCTTAAGTTGCCAAGAGGGTGTAGTGCCAGTTCAATGTTTGTACACCTCTCGACCGATACATTCGATGCTAGACGCAGGAAATTGTGTTATGCTTTCATCAATAGAATATATGCCACCAACAATAGCATTATATGCTGTCTTTTGAGATCAGACTGCCAATTCAGGAACACGTATTTTAAAAATGTATATAGATTGTTGTGTGTTTAGTGTCTATGTGGTCCTGTCTGTACTATGGGTTTTTTCCTGAAATAAAGTCATTCATTCAATATAACCGTTCAAGGACTTTGAAGAAAATGATCACAGGAGAGAGGTGGCTGATATATACAAGATTTGTAATGGGGAAAATAATCTTAGAGACCACCCAAAAATGGCCAGGTGGTCCTTACGCAGAGGTGGTCACTAGTACAGGTTTTACTGTAGTACTAGTACTAAAATACCAGCATGCCTTTTTATTCAATAAATCATAGTTTATAGGATTTCTGTCATTACCAGCCATGCATATCATTGAGGGTCAGTTGTTCCATACACTTATTTTTGCTTGAATGAATTTCAAGTGTCAATAGTGGCTTAGTCAAAAGGTGGAAACTGGAACAAGAAAAGGCATGAATTAAACCACAGCAAGTAAATTTTATGGATGACATCCTCCGCAGACTCCAAATCTAATGCGATACGGCAAAAAAACAAGGCGAGCAAAAATAAAAGTTGTCAGTCATTGTACAAATGGTTTTCATTCAGTGGGAATATCAAATATAACTGCATCAAAGTAAAAGACAAAACAGTAAATAAGAGCCTTGTCTTGTCTCCTCTCTTTATATTTATCTGCCACCCACGTTCTGGTATGCCACATATATCTTTTCCCATCTTTTGCCTGTTGACCACTGTCAGAGGGCGACAAAATTTCTTTTCTTCCAAAATCAGGCAAACATCAATGCGTGTGCTGATAATAATAATAATAATAATAATTGTTTATTGATTGATCGATGAGTACAATCTCTAGCATGTGGCAGCGCAACTAAAAAGTAGCGCTGAATTGTATGCTAGTGTTTAAAAACAGAGAAACAAATATTGCACAGTTAACAAATATCATCCATAAAAATGACTTGCTGTGGCCTTACAGTAAAACAATCCATTTCTCTCCCCCCTGTAGAGTAGTATAAATTGAGGACAGGCTGGCAGGTTTACTGTGCAAAACACATCTGTCCTTGGTACTGAAATGACATCCACTGCTACAGCTTGAATATCCTCCATAATTTACCAGTAGGGAGACCATCTTTCTTCATTATTTCTAAAGGTTTAATCTTTCAAGACTTCCTAGGGTCTTATTTTCTTTGATTTTATGAGTATGTGGGATATCAAGTTTTGAATACTTGCCAGTACATATGCTGAACATTGTGTTAAAATTATGGCAGTGCCAATTTATGGTTACTACTATACTAGTAATAGTAGTATACTGGCAATACATTGTACAGT